TCTTGATATCAGATTCGGGAAAGTCATGTCCGCGGGAGGTGGAATTGTCTTGCGTCTCCATGCATTCTCGGTCCAAGGTTTTCTCTTTGATCTACTACTATCCAGCGCATTGTCTTCAGATTTCTTTGAAAGTTTTCGTCGCTTGCGATGGGTCTCTGGCGGCGTTTCCTCTTCAACACTTCGTCTTCGATTACTGACGCGGGGAGTAGGTGGATCATACTTTAGGGTTGTCCATATTGCGCGAAATCTTGCGGTCATCCGAGGAACACCGTCGGCTTGTAATTCGACAAACTGATGATTGATGAATGTCTCTGTCCAATGTCTCACTCTATCGATAACTCGCCTTCTGAATTCTCGAAGTTGTGTGCCGTCGAGCTCCGCACTTGTACTCTCTTTCTTCCTCAAGAGACTCACGAGACTTTGAATTCCATCATCTGTGCCATTCTCTAAATCATCTGTGTAATAAAATAACCATCTATGCATAAAGTACTGGATTTCCTTATCAACTGCACTGGGCCAATGTACACTCTTCTAAGCTCAAGTTAGCTTCAATGAAAATTTGGTATTTGAGAGAACAACCTGTGACAACCAATCCTTCCCCAATCGAACCGGTGGATCTGGAAGATTTTTGGGGTCAATACGCTCTGCCCACGGCATAGCCACATTACGGTCAAATCTTTTTGGCGGATCTAACCATGGTGTAAGGCATAATTCTGGCTTGATGGTCATTAAAGACGAACTATAAGTAAATTGTGGCTCTTCGTCTTCCAAGTACGTTTCCTGGACGCACAATTAGTATCTGGAATTTAAGGTTAAAGTGTTACAGAAGTAAATACTTCAGGTGTACTCAAAGCCGAGCGTTTGTTGCAAATATGTTCATTGTTAACATTTGATGGTGGGGAGGTAGGATTGTGTTTTTGGCTCCTCCGTTTCGCATGCTGCATGATTGTGGCGTTAGCTCCCACACGGGAAATTAACATGCTCGCAAATCATCAGAAATGAAGCGAGACCATCCATCAGATGTGACATATTTCATAAAACAAAATTAGACAAGAGTAGTACATACCAATTTGCTATAGTTGGATCTTGCGTGGATGAGAAACAGGTCGGCTACATGATCGATGATACTAGAAACCGAAATTCTCAGAATACAGCGGTATAGAAGAAGCAAAACAAATCTTCTCTCACATTTCTTTATCACGAGCTTGTTCGTAAACCAGGCTTCCATCTGATGTTGGCGGCCAAAACCTCTCCCCTCTACCTTCTTCTTCAAGGAAATTCACAGCACACAGTCGACCTCCAATAGACTCGGCTTTTCTACCATAAACCTTATTCCCACGAGCCTCGTAATCGGCTAAAAACGCAGAAGTAGATTTTAACAGATTCCGACGATCTTTCGTAGGGTTGTCTTTTTCATATCCAAGAAAGGAACATATGTCGTCCCTTTTACCCATTGTCGTTGTTTTTGATGAAATCGTTCATCAAGTGGTGAAATGATGATCGAAATGAGAAAGGTGTTCGGTGACATGCCATGAACTTTATTTAAAAGACTAGGAATAGAGTCCATTGTACAGGTGCAGTGGGCGAGTATTTGTTAGTTGCTCAAATTCTATGGTGTGGCTCCAGGGTGGGGCATAAACATAATATGTATGCAGCAAGGATTTCTGACAAGAATTCCGGACAACTGCAGGAAAGGAAACTGCGGAAAGGTATAGAAGCAGAGAAGATACGAAGTATATAACTGGTCCAGATAATTTGAGTGCAACGTGAGAATAGTCTGCATAAATGAGTTCGTAGCGCAGATGCGGCAGCATGATAAACGTCTACCCCCGGCATAATGTTCCGGTGACCGAAATCTCAATTTGATCTTGTCCTTCATTTCCGCAGTTGAACAATTGTCCGATGGTAAATTCAAGAATATAACTGGTTGGAATTGTACGAGACACACAACCGCACAGTCGTAAGCTTTGAGAAACAGACATGTGAAGCTTCTCTCCAAAAACATGCAGCCGCTGTGTACTTTGTCTGCTAGTTCTCCACTCGCTCTTCAGTTCACGAATTTATTACCATAAAAACGGTTCCCACTTGTGAAATGCATATGACAATGGATAAAATGACAATTTGCAAGGCCACTTTTCTATCATTGGATGACGGTGTCATCGCCTAGAACTAGGAAGGTGTGATTTTCGTCTAGGGATGGCTAGCTAGTCTTGGAGCCAGCCATGCTGGCATGCAGAATGTCTTTACAGCCGAGCTTCCTGGGGTACTTTTCCCGAAGACCAAACGTTCCGAACGAGACTCGGAAGAGGGACACACACAGGTAGTATACATGTAAATTTATCAGATCCAAGATTAATTTATTGATTATACCTGCACTTGCAGTAATAATCCATTACTTTGAGGAACGTTCCCAGCACTGAATTTAACAGGACTAGATTGGCGTTGAACAGTAAGCAAACCACAGATTGATTGATCGGTTCTAGAATAGATACATATCTATTTCGTTGGTAGCTTTGTTGGTATCGTGATATGTATTCACCAGCCCCCACAAAAAGGCACTCCACCGAAATCCGGATCTAATGGCGTGCATAATAGGCTAACCTTATAGATATTTACCCCATCGAATTTACCTAGGTAATGTAATGTCTTGATGTCCAGATGTCTAAACTATGTTGGTAAGAACAAGCAACTGTCCAAGATATCGTTCATATCTTTTGAATCCACTTTGATTGTAAGTATTGACGCAAACGACAAGGAGCTAACGAGACATGATAGTGGAGAAATGCAAGCTGCTTGCTTGTACGGAGCACGGTTTGAAAGTTCTGGTGTTCCGCTGATGCCATCCGTTAATGTTGGATTCTCTTTGGAACATCTCTTGGAAAATTGAATTGCGGGAAAAGTTATGCAAGGACTTGCTATATTGACCCTACCTAGATGATAACGTCAGTCAAAATGGACAGCCATAAGAACTCGGACAAGGTACATGCAAAGTATACAACTCAGAAGGTGCTTTCATACTTGCAGGTATACTTACGCATGCTATAGGTACATCAACGCCATGGAAGTCTGGGCTGGGAAGTCCATTAGGATCTCTTGCTCGGCCACCAATTATTCACTATGTGATGCTGGAGCTTTCGCAAGTGTTTTTTGTACCAATGAAACGGCGGTGAGGTTGCTAATCGGCGGGTGAATAGACATTCTAGAGTCGTTGGCCAATATATATGGAACATAGCAAACGGCCAAAAAAAGAAAAGTGCTGTGAGTTCTCATGAACGGGTACGTGCTGCCGTGCGGAGCATTTTGTCTTCATCTTGCATATGCCCTTATGCTCCTAACCATGTATCATATATATGCTAGGTACCTGTCTTCAAGTACCTGCTGCAAATTGACAAGCGTTGAGTCAACCAACAAGAAACTAATAAGATTCATCGCCACTCCTCTACCTGAGCCTACATACATCGCTTTCTCTCAAATCACGTGGCAGATGCAACTAGATCAGGGCTCGTGCTCATGCACTCGATTTACTTTTCAGCACTTGACATTATACACAAAACTTCGAAGAAGCCTTCAATCGGTCTTTCTCCCTATATGTCCCTCTTCGTCCCAATTGAAGGTAGTGTGGAACAAAGATCTTCAGTGGTTCTTTCATTAGTGGAGCACTCTTGCTTCCTACATACTCAAATAGGCTTTTGTCACATTGATGAACAGAACTTCGACATTCGGAAGACGACGTGGATGCATTCTGCTACGTAGGTCTACAGAATTAATCAATAGCTTGTCTGTCTAGCGGAATGGTTACCACTAATTTCTTTCGATCGCTAGGGGTGGCAATATTTTCGAATGGCAAGATCAATATTTGTAACGATCAGTGCCACGACAATACTAGGGGGCTTTTCAATTTAGCTTATTGTTTTTGATAATTCAATGACGAGAACAAGGAAATACTCGCTATCAATTGGTTCTTTGAGATGTTTTTTTTTGTGAAGCTAGCGCTTTTACTAATTACAAAATTGTATCCAGTATGAGCTGATTGCGGCGGACCGCTGGGTCATGAATGCGGATTCCCGCAATGCATCATTCGCTTACATACATGTGCAATCAATCTTTACTTTTTGGGGGACGTCTTTCGATTTTAGCTTGCAAATGAGTGCGCTGGTTCTAATCGGTCAATGTTATTGCTACTGCCGCTTTGAGTCATGATACGTTAAGTTTCTGAATCAAGTTCACCAATTATGGTCCCTGAGAAATTGAAGCTCAAAAGGCAAGCATCAGCCTGTATCAAATCCAAGTTCTGGGAGACAATTCCGGGAGACAATTCCGGGACGATTAACTCAATGTATCTCAGTGCAATTTTTCTTCAAGTGAGGAAACGCCGGGAAACAAAAAAGATGGGCAACTTACACCCTAGTTGCGAATCTTTATGGTCGCAAGAAATACTATTCCAAAACCATAGATGAAGACTTTATCCATAAAAATCAGCGGGGGCGTTTGAGCCGCGAATATCACTTAGGTTTGGAATATAAAAATCTTGAAGAACTAGTATATGTAAAGTGTCTGAATGCGTGTATCAAAAGTTCAAAATGATTGTATCAAGGAAAACAATACCCAATGAAATTCTCAACAGGAGAAGCATCAGAAACAGAGGCAATGTAAAACATTCCAGCTTTAGTAAGCATTGGATTCATTGAAATTATCAACAAGACATATATGAATGAAAATCCATTATAGTTTGACTGGTAGTTTGCCACTCGTCGATCTGTAGAGTGTTATCCAAACTCTTTGGAATTTTTAATATATTCACGGAAAATCGACATTGCTAATATCAAAGTTGGCCTAATGCGTCTCAAGACGTTATCTCATCTCTTAAAGTATGTGCAAATTCTTCATTTTGAGACAGCGACAAATCATGAATTTTCGCACTGGATATTTGAGTGAAGAACATAAAATAATGTACGGAGTTTATTTCTAGACGTTGAAAAATCTCTTGGCCGAATTTCTCCTCAGACGTTCGGAATCCATCCATCGTTTTTCATCTCCCCAAATATCTTCTCCATCTCTTTAATAGTATCAACCTTCTTCGTCCACCCCGCCTTACTTGCTTTATTCATATTAACCACACTTCCCCACTCCCCCGCGTCCATCCCATGAACAAACGCATCCCATGTAACGATCCTCAACGCATCATCTCTTACTCCATACTTTTTTGCAATTTTCGGCCATTCTTTCTCCATCTCTTTCACTTCACTCATCAAATCATATTTTCGTTCCACCTTCGTCTCAACCCCAAAATACCTTCCAATCCCCTCCCAAACATCTCGAAACGTAGTGACCGTCTCATCTACAATATTGAATTTCTGATTCTTCACTGTCGGCTCTTCATTTAACGCTAACCATTCTGTGAATTCCGCAATCACCCAACTCGTACTGAAGTGTTGTCCCTTGTCCCATTTCCCATAGTACTCATCTTCTCCACCGGGGAAAATCGCGGGTTTGTTGAGAGCTTGACAGAGACTAAAGTAAATGGCTGCGGATGTAACCCAGCTGTTTCCGGATTTTCCTACATACCCTGATATCCAGAACGGCATTGTGATGTTCCAACTCCAAGAACGTTCTTCAGAGAGTGACCAGAGAAAATCCTCTTGGTGGTAGTAAAAGTTGGGAACTATGATGATGAGAAGTTAGTAACTCATTAGAGAAGTTTTGGATATCGAGAGTTGAAATGAATATAGGAGCCAATGAGATGCAAGTGTATTCGGAAGAAATGCGAGCTTGAAGTCGAGAAAGATAGAGACGAGGTGTTGAAGCTTACGGGAACGAGGATCGGTCACCCGGTGAGCATCTTCGGTTAGGGGCACTGAGGCAGGTGGGGAGGTAAGTAAACCATAGTTCTTTCCTCCGGTTTGGAGAATCACACGTTGCACTATAATAGGAACGTCAGCCTTTGAGTGCCAGAGTTGGTGTGAAAGAGGCGTCGGATGACATGGAAACAGTGTAAAGATCTCGAGTGAATCCAATGTTTGGACGGGATAGCCAATTGAAACGTGGATTATGCTTACAACTATCACGAGAAGTGAGATCGATGGCAGTGAGAGTATTGGTGAAGAGAGGCACATTGTTCTTAGTCATCTCTTCTAGGTGATGAGGATGGTCATAGTCGGTATGAATGTAGGCATAGTGAAAGAAATGCGTAACATTTGTGATTTCCTTAGCACTCAAAGCCTCGGCAATTTCACCAGCAGTAGCTGTGAGATCGAGAGAGTGGAATTCAACACGGGAATCGGAAGGAAGATTGGAGGGTGGGGAGCGCGAAAGGGCAATGATACGGGTCCTGGTATCAAGGGAAGATTTTAGTTGGAGGTCCGATGTCGGGCTAGAGAGAAGGAGAGAATGAAGGTATTGTATTTTCTTCGAGGTTGAAAGATACCTCCTGATTGGATACTTACCAAACTGGATTCTTAGAAAGTTGCCTCAACAAGGCGGATCCTGAGATTCCATTTGTCCCTGTAATAAGTGCAACCTTGGGAGTTTGCCGAGAATTCATGATGATATTCTTAGTTGAGTATCTTTCTTCGTTTTCGTGACGTTTTCCGGTGCTTCAATTCGAACCGCAAGCGAAACCGTGGGAAAAAAAGACCCCAAATAAGAAAGGTACTAGATATAAATTTCACTGAAAAAGGATTTAAAATCATTTTCCTGCTCTCATAGTATGTAGTTGTACCATTCATTCTACGTAAGAAAGTCCTTGACATCATCAACAACAATCATACATACAACCGAGGAGTATTTGCCAGCACTACTTATGAAGGACATTAGGCTCGGTTGCAGAAATGTAAACCTTGTCTATTCAATCCTATGGGAAGCGAGGAATAAGATCTATTCTACGCAAGTGGACAAAAGGAGAGCTCTTATGCACAGAAAGCGGGGTGTGCATATGCAGGTGATCGGAATTGGAGGGGCATGATAAAGTTTCTGTCGTGTTTGTGTCGTGTTTGTGTCATGTTAGCACGAACTTCCTGAGTGAAATTTGATAGTATGAAAGTAGCGCAAAGGTGGGATAATTCTGACTCTTGTGTTTCTATGAATAGGTGATGACGGTCATTATGTTTAGATTACTTCGCAAAACGATAGGCTTTTGTATTTCTAAATGCATAGATTATCCACTCATTATGTCTAGTATATCTTATGATTACTTAGTAAAAAATTCTGCTTTCCTTTTTATTCTCCCTGTATAATCAGCAATGCATTGCCCAAAATGATCATGCGACGACTTCTCCGTTCAAAATTAATCCTCCCAGCACAAATACACCAAGAACTCTGAAATCTATATTCCTGAACATCGATACAGCGACACTAGACTTTCCAGTCGCTGTAGCTTTTGCCGTGTCAGAAGGAGTATTCGAAGTCCTGCTAGCGCTACTAGTAGGGCTAGGTTCCGCCGAACTAGTCACACTAACGCCAGTGAAAGCCGGAATCGCTTCTCCCGCTTTCAACTCCACAATATACTTATTTCCATGCCCTTCACTTGAACTGGTATCCGCATCATTTCCCTTAAAATTGGCCTGCGCGAGTCCAATCTGATTGTTATCCAAGTCATAAACCACATATGCACTTCTCAAAAAGGTATCCCCAAGCAAATGGTAGTCCGCGTTCGTCGATTGTATTCCAAACGCACATGCTTCGCCGCTAAATGGCAAATCTGGGAGAGTGTCCTCGGGATACAGTGCGTAAGTCGGATTTGTAAGTGGAAATACAAGCTCTGATATGGGAACCCTAATCATGGCAGAAGCGGAAGAGGAGGAGAACAGATAGTCGACTGTTAAAGAGGATGAAGTATTGAGCACTGAACAGGGGAGGTAGACATTACCAGTAGAGTTTGTATCGTCGTAGGCGTTAAATTTTTTGAACATAGCATCCGTAACCTCAGTTGGTAATATGGTAAGCGTGGTTCCAGAGTCCAGAAGTACAACTTGGGGAGAGGTTGTCAAGTTTGCAGAAATGCCTTCTCGATCTGTGATACCCACTGCAGCAAGCTCAATTGACACTGATGAGTAGAGAACCGAGCCATTCCAGATAGGTTGGGGTACTATATCTAAGCTCACTAGTTCCCCGATAAACTTGGTGGTATCGACTGCACCAAAAAGAAGGGATCCAGTAGCTGAGTCTTGCGAATCTAAATAGAGACTATAAGCTCTGGTACTGATAAGATTTTGGGAGACCAGCTCGTCAATGATATTTGGATATATGGTATCAGAGGCCTCGCTGATAGAATAACCAAGTCCCAGTACTCCAAGCTGTATGTTTGTGTCGTTGGCGAGACCCATCTGGAGAGACTTGATGGTGGCATTACCAAGCACAAAAGTGTCGGCTATATAAGGCCCTTTGGCTTTACCACCATCCACATACTCGATATTGAATTTATCAGTCGTGATGTTCAACTGGACGGTTGAAGAAGCATTTGAATTGTCTATTGCATATCAGCAAAGATTCCACATTTCCTTCCATGCTCTCGAGGATGCGTCTTGGCTATGAAAATTGAAAGTGTTCCCTTGAGCGGCTAAGAAACCATACAATGATGAAAATATTTACATGGTGTCTCGCATAGGGCTGGAGCAGATCCATTCTTCTCTGGTAATCCAACACCAGTACATGAAGCAGCAGTATTGGCGACTGTCCAGGTGTCGCTGCTTCCTGTATCGATAGTCAAATCAATATCCTGAGCCGGAGTTCCCACTTTGACGGAGATCACATAGCTTGCTTGTGACAAATCGTTGACAAGAGATGCAGAGACGGAGTCGCGGGTAGAGAGACGGCGATTGAGAGCAGGATGTGGAGCATGAAGCTTTCTTGTGATAGGAATGCGAACTTGAGCGAGCGTGAACGTGATCAAAAGTAGGAAGATCACTGCGTGGTGGATCAAGTTAGCCATTTTGAAGATTCGTGGTATGTACGGTGTAAGATGTAGGTAGTGTACGAGTATCGACACAGCAAGTTATATAAATATAAGCATGAAAAAAGTAGTGCGAATACAGCAAGTACACTGCCGGCTCGCTGCCCCACATATGGCATGAGATAGCAGCAGTGAATTCTATCTCAGATCAAATTCATTTAGATATTAAAGAGAAATGACAGACATGCCCTTCAAGTCAACCACGGGATAACACAGCGAACTCGACGTTTTAACTCTCATACTCGAGCAATAAGAATATCAAAATCATAGCGAAGAAAGCAGTGAACAATCCAAAAAACATCTTTGCACTGCCTCCTTGAGATACCGCAAACAAAAGACGAAAGTATACCAAGTATGCAACTGCAATTTGGCTCTTCATATTCGGGTTGCAGCATAGCTATGGAGCGGAATTCACTTTGCTGCCCTGCCCTGCCCCGAAATTCCACATCGGATAGGCGCAGAAGGAACTGCGTGGCTTACTCAGTTCGCAAAAGGTGATTTCAATTCGATACAGCCATCCATGGATTCAATAACTCAGGAGAAGGAAGATTACTGTTGTGTTGTGAATGATTGATCCCATGAACGAAAGCTCACCACTTCATACTTGACTTTCCTTTTGCTAAGCGTGTTAAGTGAAATAACTACTAAGTAATCTAATCACCCAATATCTCGGAAAGATGCTCTTAAGAAGTGTCACATGAGCGGGTATTTATAAATACCTACACTGCCCTATCCTCGAGAACGTATTATTGCAATTTTATTAGAATGTTGATTGTGTTTGTGACAGAAACCTAAGCCCCCAAAGCCAACCGTTGGAGACTCTTCTATTGCTTTAGTTGTCGCCAGCATTACTGTTTTGGATCCAAACACGCTGTTAGTCTAATAGTTGCCAATTCCGACAGAGCGAACCGATGCGAATAGCGTAAAGTGAAATATTAGCTGATGGTACTCACCATCCATTCAACAACCGATTCAAAGTTGATGGTGCACATAAGTTACATGTACGATTACTACTTCACACGAAAGCTCGAAAAGAACTCTCGATCTGATTATAACTTCATTACTTCTCGTTATCTTTTTGATCCCTTTCTCATTCTCACACACCCTGTATCCTCTCGACTCGATCGGTATCAGTCACTCTCCCTATCTCCCCCCCCGTCTCTATATCAACCCCCCCCCTCTCTTTTATCTGTAAGCCCCTCGCCAAACCTCACCTCCATCTATTCCACCCCCATCGACCTGAAATCACAAATACATCCACACTCCATCATCATTCAGCATCGTCGGCTCCACATCACACACACTAAACTCGCACTCCTCCCCAACAACATAGATCCATTCCATTTTCAAATTTTATATTCCGTCTCCCAAGCCGCCCCTTATCTCCCGACCCTAACCCTCCATACCTCTCCCATACTCCTTCACCAAAACTCCCCCAACCACCTCCTCATTCCCCCACTCCCCCCCCCCTCCAGGATAAAACCGCAGTATCAAACCCGACAAATATGAACCTCCCAACCAATCGACCAAACTTCATCATCTCTTCGCTTCTCCTCCCCTATCTATTCTATTCCCACTCACCAAACGCAAATCTCGCTACAAAGTCATTCATACAAATCTAACAAAGCCACGCTCACACACACATACAAACCCATGAACACGAATACCAAACCAAACACCCCAGATAATCCGAACATACCATAGTAAACTTCCCATGAAAATGCTCAGAATAATATGCAGACCACTACTCATTCATTGCCCTTCCTGTAAAAGTATCACATCATATCATACAAATACATATATAGAGCTGCGTGCGACTTTTCATTATTCCTACACTCATGGATAAATATTCATGTACACGGCCTCTAAAGCCCAACCATCTAATAGTAACACAATTCTTCCCATCATTTCTCCAAACATACAACCAACTACCAGACCTCACTCCACCTCACCTCTTCCAATCCCCCACATGTTCCTGAATAATCCTCGCCGCCTGCTCCGGACTATGCTGTCTCCCAATCGCCTCTACAAAATCGCCCTCGGGATCCATCAAGTAAAAATAAATACTATGATCGACCAAATAATCCTGGCCCTTCTGGACACCCTCGGGCGTCGAAAAATAAACCCGATATTTCTTACAAATATCCTTAATCTGTTCCCACGTGCCCGTGAGCCCGATAATGCTAGGATGAAATTCCGCAAGATAGGTGGCGAGCACCGCGGGGGTATCGCGTGCGGGATCGCAGGTGATGAAGATAGGGAGGAGAGCGGGGGTAGAGGAGGTGCGTGTGGGAGAATTGTTGATGAGATCGATCATTTGAGCCATTTTGTCGAGTTCTTCCGGGCAGATATCTGGACAGTGGGTAAAGCCGAAGTAGACCTATTTGAATTCATTCTGTTAGCATTATTCTCCCTCTCTCCCGCACCAATTTCTTTCGCGTGCATCCGATTGCGCAGCCAAAAAATCAGAACCTACCAAACTATATTTTCCCTTCATATCCTCACTACTGAATTTGCCTCCCTTATGATCGAGCAACTCAAACGGTCCGCCAACCTTTGGTCTCCCTACACCCTTTGCAGCTTCCGCTATCCTCTTCCTCTCCATCCTTGCTTTTTCATATCGGAAATAGAAGATCAGTCCCGCGCCTGCCCCAAGAAAGAGGACTCCCGCTGTCCACGAAAAAGGCTGTTCCAGATATAATACGTTAGCGAATATTCTTCTTCAATAACACACCCCAAATGTAAGTGATTAAACGCATCATTCTTCCCAGGCAGAGGCAATCTCCTGGCCCCATCCAATCCCCTCCCTAATTTCCATCCACCTAGCCACCTAGCCATAAAAAAAAGAAACAAATTCCCTACCCCAGACTTATATCTCGACCTCTGTTCCTGCACTGTCTTGTACCCCCTCCTCCCCGCACTCCCCTCACCCAATCCCATACTCTTCACCCCCACACTCGCAGACCCATTGAATCCCTTCACTTCGCTCAAACAAGCTTTATTCTGTACACCCCTCGGAAGTCTCGAAGCGCAAATCGTAGATAATCGTTGACATTGAAGCCCGAAAGTTTGCGCATTCTTGGCACCCGTCCTCGAGATCGTAGAGAGCATGTTGCGACTTGTGGGTAATATGGCGTTTGACATGATTGCTGTGACTACAATGTAGAAAGCTTCGGAGAGGGGAAGCGATTATGAACTGATGATGCTTGCTTGAAATTTAGAGCTTCAGGTCAATTAGCCCACGTTTGGGACGCCGCTTTAGTCTGGTTCCGATTTTAACCAAGATAAATTATTTTGGTCAAAGCAGCGTCACTTAGTTTCATTTGAATTCCTCAGATCAACCCCTTCGCTACAAGCATCAGATCACATTTCAACGGATTTTAGTCACATTATTAAGTTTTCTTTTATTATTAACTATCTCTACTGCTCTTGTAACTCCTAGTAAATACTATATGCAGCTTCTTCCTCTATCTTACAGAGGTACATTAAAAGGGTGCCTCCCTTTCTCTTGCTTGATGCATCGATTCGAATATGCTCTTTCTTCGCTCAAATTAATGTACGAAAACTCCTTTGCAACGCCAGTTCCATGCATATGCATTTCCCAGGGAACTAATCCATTCTGTTCTTTCCTGGGATGTTCTATTAGATAGGAAAGTGAACAGAAATAAAGCAAAAATAGGACGCCATTCCCACGAAATAAGTACGCCTATGGAGTACCCTTTCTAGGGATTTTATTATCTCAATGAACCGATTCATCTCGTGTAGATAAAACCAAAAAAAGAAAAATCCAGCAAACCAAACCAACGATGATGTGATGTCAGATTTTCGGCGGAAACCCACTGAAAAATCATAATGATATGATCATTATACATCCTCTATTCGCGTCGGCTGACTTGGCTAGCACTGGTACGGCTTCTCTCATCTTCTTCCAGAACATCACTGAGACGAGTTGGATGATGATGACGAGGAAAGGACTCCCAACCTGCACCCGAGCCACCTGCACCATATCCTGATCCTGTGTAATCGACTGTGGCAGCGGGGGCAGAAGTTGGGTTGCCGGCTGTGCTATTTGTTGGACCTTGTCCGTACTCAACGCCAGCCATTGGGATTGGAGGTCCAGTAACTGGAGCACGACCTTGACGGTGTTGACGAGGACTATGCTCATACTCAGCCGTGTCATCATCAGAATCGTCATTTGAGTATGGAATTCTGTTTCCAGCAGCGTCAAGAACGTATCTTCCTTGCTCGTCAACCTCATATTCCTCATCACTGTTTGATCCATCATACTGTCCTTCGGTCCTGCCGGTTTGAGTACTTGGATGACCTTCAGGTTGTTGGTAGTAAGTACTTGGGGAGGCAGGTTGTACGGCTGGTGCTTGAGATGAAGATGGTGCGGATGTTGTAGCAGCTCCTCGACGCTGACGAACATTGTCAATGAATGGATCAGCTGGTTCTGTACGTTGAGAGCGCTGATATTGTTGGTAAGCTTCATTCGATCCAGCTGGACTCTCAGGATCTGCAAATCGACCTCCTGTACGCGCACTTCCGCTTCCGCTTCCAGAATCAGAAGGACCTCCTTGTCTTGTTGGAGGAAGATCTCGAGCAGCTGTGCTACCATGACGACTTGGTACACCTTGGATCATTGGAACAACCTGGACTCCACCCAACAAGGTTGGCTGACCTTCTCGCAAAGAGATTGTTCGTTCGCGTTCCTCCGTCTCACGACGACCAAGTTCGTCCCATGCTCTACGAGCCTCACTTCTAGCAATCTCCAACTCTCTCTTCAACTCAGAAATCACTTTATCGGAATGATCTTTGCGCCTCGATGCCTCAACGGCGTCCTGAATAGCTTGAGCTCTGGAATTACGCTCATCCTCCAACTGTTTTGCCATGACTGCCAAGTTCTCTGTCGCACGTTCCTCTTGTTCTCTCGTCTCGAAAAACCATCTCTGAAATTTGCGCTCAGAGCTAGCTCGTAAACGTTGTAATTCGACAACAGCATGGAAAAGATTTGCGCCAGCAGCTGATAAATCAGTATTTTGTCGGGATAGCTGCTGTGACAATGGATCGCGATTGATTTCCGAGGAATTTTCTTCCAGTCTGCGAAGCCAGAAACTTGTGAGACCCTCCCAATGTGCAGAGAGAGTCTCCCAGCGCTCGAATGCATGCGGGAACGATGATCGAGTTGGGCCATCACGGCTTGGAACGGTTAAAGGCGGAGGTTGAGCTGGACCGGCTCCAGTTGATAAATTTGGTTGACTTGGACCAGTCTCGGCGGGTTTTGATTGCGCCATTGGCAATCTGAGAGGTGCAATTTCAGGACCTGTAGGAGTTCTTGATGTTGTTCCACGTCTTTGCATTGGTTGATCGACTGGTCTGATACTTTCCCCGCCACTTGCTGCTCGATCTGCGGCTCTTCGATCTACTCTTTGGGAGTTGCTCGAAATTCGTGGTTGTCCTTGCTCTTCGAGTCTTTGTGCTGCAGCGCCAGCAGCTGCTCTTCTCTCTGCTTGCCGCATTGATTCTTCCTCGTTTCTTTTTTGTTCGGCAGCTCGGGCTTTTTGTTCCGACGCTTCAGATGCTTTTCGAGCTTCGCGAGCTTGCCTATCTCTCATAATATCTCTTGGACCACGAATGTGGGGCGAACCAGAGGCTGCGGGTCTAGTGCCATTGCTAGCTGAGCTCGTGGCTCCTCCTAACATATCTGACATTGAAGCGTTTTCTTCAATATAATCTGGAGTGAATTGATTGGGTTGGCGTAACGCTTCTTCAAGGGTGTAAAGGATGGCACTCGCGGTATGCTTATCGATACGTGGAGGATAGGCGGGACTTTTTTCCGCTTCCGGGGAGGGACTTAATGGATGAGGTTCAGTATCGGGATCGTCTGCGATGTCATGAGTGAAGTCGCCTTCACTTGATTGTCGATGGGCGAATTTGATTCGAGGTAAAGGAGAGATTCCAGCTGAAGCTGCTTCAATGTGAGTTCTTCGTAGTGTTCTTCGCTGCTGGCGCTGTTCGGGTTTCGGCGTGTTAAGTTCGTGGGTATCGTGACGGTCGTTAGATATGGGTATGGGTGGGAGCGTCAGCTCTGCTGGATCTCTCGAGTTTGGGTGAGAGGAAAACAAGGTGAACGCTGCTCAATGGAATGCCCGAAATGGGATAAAGTAGAGAAACGTTGCTTGTGTGTAAAAATAAAGAGAAGCTAATAAGATTAGAGGATAGAAAGAGAAAGTATGAGGATTGATGCTAAATTTATTGATGATGGTGTTTTTGTTGTAAGTTGTTGGTTGTTGAGGTCGTCGTTTGGAAAGAAGGTCGAGATGGTGAGGGAGACAAAGTACCTCCCGGGATTTGAAGGGGACGACCAAAAGTGAGAGACAGAAAAGTGAATTTCAAGAGTCGAAAGATGATAGAAGGTGGTTTTTCGGTGTGAATAAGATATTAAGAGGCTGGACGAATGGTGGGCTATTTTTAAACGAGAGAGGTTAAAAAGAGGAAGGCTGGGCAAGTTGAATCAAAGCACTTCAACAACCAAGCCAAAACAATATAGCTAATGAGAATACAAGAAACCAGATCCTTTGGCTTGTTCTGAAATCCAAAGAATTGGTCTTTCTACTTGTCGATGTTGATATTGGGAGTGAATTTTGAAAGCTGGACCAGCTTGTTACGTATTCGCACAAAGATCTCCAAGATTATAAGCTTGATTGCAAGGATATTTTCACCCTCGGTATTTTGAGAATGAGGATGAGAATGAGAGCTCTTGAAGCGCAAATTGAATTATGACTTCTGGACAATGAAGGGATTGATGGCAATTGGTGAGAGAAGAGAGGAGAAGCTAGAGAATGTATCGATGAGCTTGAAGATATCATGCTCGCACAATGATTGACTCAATTGCAAATTTCGTTTCGAGGGCGGTTAAAGAAAGTACCGTTCCCGTAGGTAAGAGGGTTGAAGAATCGAGTACTGTGTACACATGTATGGAGAAGATGTGGGTATCCGTCAATGCGCAACGCAACGCGACTCGATGATTTGGTGGAATACTGGTGTGGTTGAAAGGACTGGAAATGTGATGTGATGTGTGTATCAGTCGAATTTGAAGGAAACGGTGTATGTGATGTTGTTGCTGTGTGATTCAATTGATGTAGTCAATTATCAATTGGAATATCGAATATCATGGATTTAGTCGGATCGGATCTGAGGCTCTAGATATCAATCATGACATGGAGCTCTTTGACTCGAGTTGATATTTCAAAGTAATAAGCTCTGAATCATAACATCATCCTGTCAAACCAAGACATTCAGAAGCAAGACACGATAGATTCTCCCTTGACGTCCAGAAGAGAAATCGTCGCTTTATTTTGAAACTAGACCTATTTTCGGATAATGAATGATCTCGGCAATTCCGGATGAAAATCCAAGTATGATTCAAGGGGGTTGGAAAAGAAATATATATATATATGATGGTGTTGAAGAACTTTAGAGGAAGAATTATGGAATCCTGTCGCAAAAAGAAAGGAAAAAGCTTTCTTTACTCGACGCAAAAGGTCTTCCATGAAACTTGATTTTGGGACGGGAGCTTTTAGTGCTGTGCTGGCATTGTAGCATAGCATGAGCTGCATGGTTCAAGGGGTTTAGGGATTGGTTCCGCTGTCCCCACTCTGATAAAAAGTGGGTGTTGGGGGTACGATGTAGATGTAGATGTAGATGTAGATATAGATGTGGAATCGACATTGATATTGATATTGATATCGACATATGCTAGTAATGTCTTGTGAAGAGCCCCTCTCTGTTTGAAGAGAAGGCTATACTACCATATATGATATCAATATCGCTATACGCATTTACTCTATGACAACCTTCAAGTACCTATCAAGACAATATAAAAACAATAGAATAATGTTCCATGCCACTAGACCATTAGACAAAAACCCAATCCAACATCCCGAACTACCTTCCTGTTTCATCTAGAAACCCTACTGTCCCCTCTCCCCTCCTCTCCACCTATAAGCACAACACCTCTCCCTAGATCTAAACCCAGACAACTAACTTAAATCCCATCAAGTTACTAGATCAATTTCTCCCTCTTCCACACACTGTGTGAGACATATTCAGGTACCCGTCCTCCCACAGACTAGTCTAACCACATGAAAAACAATCATATCACATCACATCAAAGTGCACAACCAAACATTCCAATCAATATCGACATCATATTTGATATGTCCATGTATTTCCATATATTTCCGATTCCGATCTCTACCTTCTGTTTTCCTTTTTCCTCCTCTCCTCTCTCCCTCCTACCCCCCTAGAACTAGCCTAGCTACCAACAACAACGCTTATAGATATGATATCTAACAACAACCCGCTAAATCTTCGCAGTATGTTATTCCCCATCCCAAAAATGCAACACAAAAACAAAAAAGATTAAAGAAACGCTATAGCAGATATGCCAGTCCTCTGATGTGCCTCTCCATATGCTCTCCTTGTGCTTCTCCATATATTCCCAAACACCAATGATGTACAACCACCACTACTCAGCCTCCCAAACATATGAAAATGAACCCCCCAAAAGAAAATACACAACAGAGATATCTGTGTGGAGTGTTGTACTGAGTAGAGCTTTTACGCTGTAGATATGGTATAACATGCTATTTGGCATACACCATTTGTCTCCCTGTCCATCTTTATCCTTGACCGCTCACCCATCCGCCAGAGCTCTAAGCCGCGCTAGCTGAAGTCTCCTGCTCCTGAGTTTGTACCCTCTTCGACTTGTCCCTCTTCTTGCCCACCACATCTTTCAAAACCAATAACTTTTCCTCCGTAATCCTAATTGCATCTTCTACCTCTCTCTCATCCATCCTTTCACTCTTCAACCTATCCTCTATATCCAACCTCTCCGTAGGCATTCTCCCCACTTCTCGTAATCTATCCATCCCCGCCCTTTCCTCTAACCACAACCAAAGTTCACTTTCCTCTCTTCTCCAAATCTCTTCATATGCTGCGATTCTCTCCGGAGTACCTAGATAGCTCATTCCCATATCTCGATTCCCGCCACCCCCAATAGGCAATCCGAAACGGAACCAACTTGCTACTAGAAGTCCGACGAGAAGTCCATAGAGTATATTCCCTGTCATCAATGGTTTGATGATATCAAAAATCGGCTCAAATATACCACGAACGGGCTCAAAGAGACCCCAGTTAGTTGCTTCTGGTTTAGTCTCAGAAGCGCCATCGGTAACTTTGCTAAGATTATTTGCCCTCGAACCTTTGCGACCTTTCTTTTTGCCTTTACCAGGAGCACCTGGTGCTCCAGAGCGTTTGGTACTGACAGCCGCTTTGAGTGCGGCTATAACATCTTTCGTGTATTGCACTTGACCATCATTCGCACCCTTTTCAATCGGAGCTGTTTTCAAATCAGTATGACAATACAATATGTCAGAAGATCACAAGTGTACTTACTTTTCAGCCAACTCTTACCCGTCCACTCAATTGCACAGTTGACTTGCAATCGAGTACCATTGCCTTCTGACCATGAAAGACAATACCTAGTCTTGGTACTGAAAACGTTCCCGCTAGGTACATCCGGAGTTACTGTTGATACAGTTACGGAAACTGCCTTCTCAAGATCCATGGCGTCCAGAGTCTCTGTAGAGACACATTTGGTTTGCTTGGGACCAATCGCACCATTCAAAGGCTTGATATAGGTGTAATTTCGAACCTTGTTCTCCAAAGACAAGGGGATTCGAGCGTTCTCTTCGTAAGTGAGCTCGAGACATTTTTGTTCATTAGTGAGCCAATCTCGCATCCAAGTTATAGATGCGGGTCCAAACATCAGACTATAAACCTGTCCTAGAGGAGCTGGAATGACTTCATCTGCGAGTATTTTCGCATAATGTGTGTCGCCATCGGAACATGTGGTTGCGGCATGTGCAGCTGGACCAGGAAAGTCTGCTGCGGCTGTTGGACTAGTTTGTTTACCTCCTTCAGCCCCAGCCCCATTGGTCACAACAGCAGCTGATGCCTTTCTACTGACAACCTTTTCACCGGCTTCACTACCCACGACGCTACCATCGGCTTGCATGAAGCTCATACCGTCCTCATCGTCTTCATCTTCATCGTAGACTTCCCCGCTACCTTCGCTGTCATCCGAGGACTGTGAGATACTACCTGGACGAGAAATAGGAACAGTGCCATCGTCTTTCTCAGTCTTATCCCCGCCAGTCCCCTCAAGGGTAACACCATTTAACGAGCTTCTTAAATTCGGGTGGCCAATCTTCCAAATACCGACTATGAGATCATACGTTGAATCACGACTTGTAAAACTAGCGAAAACGTTCTTCGCGTGTAATGTTGAAATCATCAAGCCGTTTTTGAATAGCAGTGCTGTGCTTCTCTTTTCCACTGAAATGATCTCGTCGAAGCTCATAACCAATGTTGTGACCCAACCAAAGATGTTGCTACTGAAACACAAGTGACCTTCGGAGACGTATAATCGACCATGGGCAAGAATCTCTCTTTGCAAAGCGCAGCTATAATCTTCGATGAGATAGTCATCATCGGGTACGCTTCTGAAAAGCGCGTGAAAATCCTTATTTCTCTTCTTGCTTGCCACTGCAAAACCTGTGATCTTGGGGGCCGCCGAGCCTGGGCTTCCAATAGATGAATTAGCTGCAGCAATTGCTGCTCCGATTGTTGTACCGGTTGCTGCAGAGCTGCCCCTTTTCCTGTGATTTATGCCGCTTCGGATACTGCCACTACGTTGGATACCAGATTTCCCTTCGAATACGCTCCCATTTGGAGGAGTTCGATCTCCATTCGCGCTTGGTTCGTAGACAGAACGTGGACGTGCAAGAGTATGTAAGTCTTCAAGTTGAGGTGTAGCGACCGCTTCGAGATTTTCTCCAGTCAACATATTTGGGGCAGTGGCAGAACGATTCGAGAAAAAGTGGTCATCCCGAGCGGGATCAGGCCTTCCGCGAACCTCGTCTGGATACTTTGGCATTGTTGGAGTATTTCCTTCTTCTGAAATCCCGAATTGGCTCAGACTAAGATCTCCCATACCCAATGTCTTAACGGCTGGCTCCTTTTCTTCCATAAGATTTTCTGTATCTGTCTTCTCTCCCAATGCTTCGACTTCCGGACTCTCAATCTCCTGTATACCTGGTATTGTGTGTACACCACTCTTACTTCTCGTCCCCCCTGGGACCGACGTGTTTGTGATACTGTTGCTCAATGTACTTGCAGCGTTCTGGGCTGCAGAGAAAACCGAAGAGAAAAATCCCGATTGATTTTGTCCTGGTGTAATTGCTCCGTTCTCTGGTGTGGGTGTCAGCGGCGCAGATTGGATATTCGATAATTTACTTGGGACTCCTGAAGCAGAACCTGATCGAATTCGTCGATGTGATATCATGTTACCAGAAGGAGAAACTAAAACATTTGCAGCGAACCTGGTAGGGGACTCCGGGCTAGTGACAGAAGTAAATTGCGGTGATCTTGTGTCCGTCGGTGTTGGAGGTGTATTAACAATAACAGGGGCCGGCCTGTTCACAGATGGTGGAGTCTGAGGACGTGGGGTTGTATCGATGGTAGTGAGCTTGCCCTTTTCGATTTGTGGCCTTTCAGGAGACGATGTTGTAGATCGAGACTTACCGGGGGGGAACTGTTTATCAGAAAAGATTGAACCAACTTTCACATTTATGAGACTCCCCCGCCTGGAATCAGCCCCACCGTCCTTGGTATTTAGTGATTGATCAGCCCCGCCCCCTCCAGTCTTACGTTCTGGACTTGTATTTGTGCTTGACCCGCGTCTTGGTTTGAATACGTCTTTGAGCCTGCCAACTGGTGAAGATGACCGCCTTTGAGATCCGTCGATGGGAGCTCGAAGGTTTTGGGTAAGGCTCTTGGAAGCTGACTCGGAGGTAGCCAGACTGTCTGTGGAATCTGCGAATGGTTCTCCTTCTGAGTGAGAAAGTAAGGGTCCGATTTGTGGAATTGTCGAAGTATGTATGAGTGGGGACGAAGAAGTAAGATATCCAGTGTGCGAAGGGTGCGTAGTCAATGGTGGAGGTGTTTCGGCGGCCCTATCAAAGCAGCAATTTGAATTAGAAACTTAATTTCTCAAAGCTAAGATCAGTTCTCCACATGTCAAAGCAAAGATGGATGCTAAAAATAGGTAAATGTAGTGCGAGATGGGTCAGAAATGGATAGAAATCGCAAATCAAGCGACTCGGTGGCAATGCGATGTCGATGTTGTGATTTTAGAGTACAACTGTGCTGTATGCAAGATTGACGATGATAA